AAATCAAGAAACTGATCCCATTCACAATTGCACAAAAAACCATAAAATACCTCGGAATAAACCTAACCAAGGATACAAGAGATCTGTATGATGAAAACTATAGAAAACTTATGAAGGAAATTGAAGAAGACACAAAGAAATGGAAAAACATTCCATGCTCATGGATAGGAAGAATAAATATAGTTAAGATGTCATTACTACCTAAAGCACTCTACACATTCAATGCAATTCCAATCAAAATTGCACCAGCATACTTCTCAAAACTAGAACAAACTATCCAAAAATTTGTATGGAACCACAAAAGACCCCGAATAGCCAAAGTAATACTGAAAAATAAAACCAAAACGGGAGGTATCACCATCCCAGACTTCAGCCTCTACTACAAAGCTGTCATCCTCAAGACAGTATGGTATTGGCACAAAAACAGACACATAGACCAATGGAACAGAATTGAGAACTCAGAAGTGGACCCAAAAGTATACAGCCAACTGATCTTTGACAAAGCAGGAAAGAATATCCAATGGAAAAAAGACAGCCTTTTTAACAGATGGTGTTGGGAGAACTGGACAGCAACATGCAGAAGAATGAAACTAGATCATTTTCTCACACCATGCACAAAAATCAACTCAAAATGGATAAAGGACCTGAACGTGAGACAGGAAACTATCAACACCCTAGAGGAGAAAGCAGGAAACAACCTCCTTGACCTCCACCGCAGCAACTTCTTACTTGACACATCCCCAAAAGCAAGGGAATCAAGAGCAAAAATAAACTGTTGGGACCTCATCAAGATTAAAAGCTTCTGCACAGCCAAGGAAACAACCCAGAAAATTAATAGGCAACCAACGGAATGGGAAAAGATAGTTGCAAATGACATATCAGATAAAGGGTTAATATCCAGAATCTATAAGGAACTCACCAAACTACACGCCCGAAAAACAAACAACCCAGTGAAGAAATGGGCAGAAGACATGAACAGACACTTCTCCAAAGAGGACATCCAGATGGCCAACAGACACATGAAACGATGCTCAGCATCCCTCCTCATCAGGGAAATACAAATCAAAACCACACTGAGATACCACCTCACGCCAGTCAGAGTGGCTAAAATGAGCAAATCAGAGAACTCTAGATGCTGGCGAGGATGTGGAGAAACGGGCACCCTCCTACACTGTTGGTGGGAATGTAAACTGGTACAGCCCCTCTGGAAAACAGTGTGGAGGTTCCTCAGGAAACTAACAATAGAACTCCCTTATGACCCAGCAATAGCACTGCTAGGAATTTACCCAAGGGATACAGAAATGCTGAGGCATAGGAGCACATGTACCCCAATGTTCATAGCAGCACTCTCCACAATAGCTAAAACATGGAAAGAGCCTAAGTGTCCATCAACAGATGAATGGATCAAGAAGATGTGGTTTATCTATACCATGGAATACTACATGGCAATGAGAAACAATGAAATCTGGCCATGTGTAGCAACATGGATGGACCTTGAGGGTGTTATGCTGAGCGAAATAAGTCAGGCAGAAAAGGACAAATATCATATGTTTGCACGTATAGGAGGATTAGGAGGAACTTAACGGAGGAACAAGGGGGAGAAGAAGGGCGGAAATGGGGGAAAGGGAGAGAGGCAAACCATGAGAGACTCTTGAATGCTGACAGAAACTGAGGACTGACGGATGTGGGGGGGATGGGGGGATGGGCATGGAGGAGGGCACTTGTGGGGATGAGCACTGAGTGTTATGTGGAAACTAATTTGACAATAAACTATTTATAAAAAAAGAAAGAAAGAAAGCAAGCAAAGGGTTAACACAAAGCTTTTTAAATAGAGTCTCAAACAAAATGTTATGGGAGCCCCCAGTATGGAGGGATGAACTTGAGGGGGAAGTCAAGGCATGGTGGGTTAGGTGACTTTTGAACTTGGACTCTGATGAATGGAGAGAATGTGACCGAGAAGAGATGGGTGATAGGGCGTATCAACGAGGAAGGCCATGACCATTGACCTGGAAAGATTGAATTCTGTCCTGAGGACTGGGGAGCCTGGAGGAACTTCAGATGGGGGCAGCAGTGAAGCCCAATGGAGGGAACAAGGGCTGTGAGGTCCCCCAGACTGAGTTTGTGTCTCAGCTCTGCCACTGATCAGCTTGAGCCTGGGCAAAGCCACTATTCTTCTCTAGCCTGTCTCCTCTTCTGTAGGTGAGGACCCCACTTGTCTCCAAGCGTGGCTGACAGACCTGATGGAAGGGTGGGAAGGGGCTATGCCCACAAACCTAAGGGACACCAAGTCTCTCAGCCTCTGAGGTCATATCAGCAGTTAGATCTGAACTCTCCTTCCCACCTGCATAGCTGCAGGACCTCAGGTCGCCTCTCAACGTTTCATCCTCAGTAGTATCTTGGGACATCCCCAGCAGGGTGTTTGAAAATGCTCAGACCCCTGCTTGGGTCTCTGACCTTCCTGATGCCATGGGGCTGCTCCAGGCTCTCTCAAGCTTCTGTTTATGTTATTACCACCAGTCAGATGCTTCATCAACTGAGCAACCCAGGCGCCCCCACGTAGGTGCATTCTGATGGAAGTTAGGTAGGCATTGCTGCCCAGAAAAGGCAGACTCAGGTCAGAAGGCAGGGTGACAAGTCTGAGATGGGATCATGGTGCAAAAAAAGAGGCATGGACAGGTGGACCTCTGAAGAACAACTTCTCCAACTTCAGAACTTGGGCTTTAGGCTAGGCCTGGCCTCAAAGTGAGACAAATACAGATGGGCGGCCTGTGCAGGCCACAGCAAGACTCCAGTGACTTACAGTTCTTCTAAACTACTTTGATACAAGGACTCTAGGCTATTCACCTTCCCTATCCTGAATCATTTCTTTCTACTTCAGGCCTATTGGCGACTTGGGTTCAAGTGTCCCAAACTGATAAGTAAAGACATTGCTTTCGAGATAAGGAGATAAACTGAGGGTGAAAGCGGGTGTGGTCATCCTTGTCCCCAGGGCCAACACAGGGACCCTGGGGACAGAACCATAGGGCTGAGTACTGTATGTGGCCTTGGTAGCATTTAAGACCATCCCTGGGCAAAGTCCAGTAGATGGGGGAGGGATGCCTGCTTGGTTTATTTGCTTCCAGGGTTGACACTTCAGCCCAGCTGATCTTTGCTATAATATTAACTGCCATTTCAGCAGTGTCAGATGCCAGGGGCAAGAAGAACAAGGTACAGATGGGACTGGTTACATATTTGACTTAACAATTATATAACATTTACTCCTCACAATGAACACACTCTGAGAGTTCTGCAAACGTGAACTCATTGCTAAGAATTTAGTCCTGTTATTACCCCATTTCAGAGGCAAGGAAACTGTGGGCTCAAAGAAGTGACGTCACTTGCCCGAAACCACGCAGCTAGGGGGTAACAACTGGAACTGAAACCCTGGCAGTCTGGCTGTACTGGTGAAGGCAGAGCTGTTGGTTTTACAAGGCTGTCTTTGGGGTCCCTGCTGTGCATGGCTCCTTCAAGTCTACCAACTTGCCCTTCAGGGTGGCTAGTGCAGTGCACAGGGGAGTAAGGGCCTTTGCTGGGACATTTCCCCAGTCTTCTGGTCTCTGGTAATCACATCATCCCCAGTCCTGGAATGGGGGTAGGGGGCCAGGGATAAGACAGTGGGAGGATCAGCAATCTCACAGTCCTTGTCCTGGGTCTGTCCTCTGAGGCTGTGGGCTCTGCTTTTATTCCTGGAGGTGGAGTTCACTGAAGCTCTTCTTCACTTAAATTCCCCTCCTTCAGGGAGTCCCATGAAGGCCCCCTTTCCCTCCTCCAAATGGGTCTGTTTTACTGTATTTGGATGAAGTATTTGAAAGCCACCTTAAACTTGTTATAAATGTGAGCAGAGTATAAATACATTAAAAATAAGATCAAAAGGAATGTGTGGCTTGCCTCTGGGGCCCTCCAAGCTAGTTGAGTACCACTGGGACACTTAAGTGACCATTGGATCTGTTTGTCTCTCATAAGTATTGCTTTTTCTCTAGAGAGCATTTTCTGGGAGCTGCTTAGGCTCTGTGCAGTCAGCTGCCCTCTGATGCCTTGGGTATGGACACAAGGCTGGCCTCGGCTTCTCCACTTCTCCTGTAAGGACTTATGCTGCTTAGGAGTGACCCATACTGCAGGGGAACCAAAGCCTTGTTCTAGAAGCTATGACAGAAAGGGCATGTCCAGTTCACTAAATTTGTCTTCTGGGGACCCCCAAACTCCCCTTTTTGAGTCTTTTCCCCTCTTCCGTGGCATCCTCTGATCCATCCAAATGTGGCCCTCATTCACTCTCACATATGAGTGCCTTGAATAGCCAAATGGGACTGTCAGAAAAAGGCAGTCTTCTCCTCTGCCAGTGACCAGCAGTACTTTTAGAGTGGGCTCTACTGAGGGGACTCACCCAAGCTGAAGAAAGTAGCTCTCCAGCTGTAACAAACTTCCCCAAGGGGTGCAGTGGGGCTTCCCAAACACTAGAAAGAGAGGACATTGTCTTTTTCAGAGACAGGCCAGCTCAGAGGAGGAGGAATGATAAACATTCATTTCCAAGCAAAAGTGGGGCTGTAGCCAGAGCCTGGGGTAGGGGAGCTAATGGGAAACAGCTTGCTGGAAAGAGGGGGACAGAATTCGGGAATGACTGAGACATGCTGTTGAAGTGGGGGGCAGGGAGGAGCAGGCTGATTGAGACCAGCTGCGGCTCCTCTGCCCCGGAGATCTTTGGACTCTGCACGGGGCGGGCTTGGAGAGCCAAAGCTTCCCCACCCACCCAGACTCCTGACTCTGGACTTCCGAGTCCAGAGCCCTCAGATGCAAGAGACCAGAGGGGGACTCACCATCCACCAGCTGGACGCCTCCTTCCCATCGCCAGCCCCCTGCCCTGGCTGCTCCTGCCCTCGGAAGGCCTGGAGGAAGAGGCCAGGGAAACAGCCCTCCCCATTCTGCCCCGTCCCTCCATCCACCCAGCACTGGCATCTGGAGATCCTATGGCCCAGGCTCACTGGGGCTGCTGCCCCTGGCTTGTCCTCCTCTGTGGTATGTGCATCCTGGTCCCTCCCTCCCATGCTGGGAGGGCAGGTCCAGCTGGAGAGCAGCTCTGGCCTCTCCCCTCTGGGCTCAGAAAGGGTTGGAGTGAGGGTTGGGGCCCGGGGTTGTCTCTTTCTCTCTTGGTCCTCCTCTCTGTCTTGAGGAAGAGGAACCCCAGGGCCAGTCCTCAGGGTCCTTGAGACTCAGGTCAAGTCTGGGTTTCCATTTCTACCTGTTAAAGAAAAGATGATTCTGGCACTTGTTAAAAGAGTGAGGAAGACTTCATTCAAAACTATTGCAATAGGGGAGAAAGATCAGGCTCAACCCTGAATACAGCAAAGATGGCTGAGGACTTAAAGCCAATGACAGAGTGATGGGGGCAGTGGATGGAAAATTACTAAGAGGAGCCATCAAGGGTAGGGGAGTTCTTGCTAAGCCAGCTTCATAAGATTCTTACTGAAGGCAGGCCAAGGTGAACAGATGAGTAATTTGATCAGATAGCAAAGGTGATCAGATATTCAGGGTAGAGGATTGCCTCTAAATTGACATAGCAAGATTCTTATTGAGGACTGGGTGATTCAGGCCCAGCAAGGACCAGATGGACACGGAAGGCCAAAGTCATGTTCTAGTGAAGAAGAGGCTCGGAGGAGCCTAACTAAAGTTTGGTCTTTGTCACTCCAATGGTGCCCTCTTTGTCCTCTTTGGTTACTAGATGCCCACCTCAATGCCCTCCACACCCACTCCACCCCAAGCCTTAGAGAGGCCTCATTCCCTTTGCTCTCTGTCAGCAGAACCCCACTCATTCAGTTAGCACCCAATTCCTGAGACCTCCCCAATATCAGGCCCCTGTGTCAGGGAACACAGAGCCTGCCCTTGGTAGTCACAGCCTTGGCCTTAGAGAATAGCAGTCTGGGTGTTGAGACAGACATAGGCTGGCTGAGTCTTGCTTATTGTGTTAGCATCTTAGCATCACCATCTGGCCAAAGATTTCCTACAGAAATGGGGGTTCATTTTCTTAGATCAACAGTATGGGCTGCATCTCCCCCTTGAGTTTATGAGTCCAACACAGTCAGGCAGGATATTTATGGTGTTAGATGCCAGCCACACTCTTATCTGTAACTCAACCCACTCAGAAGGTAAAAGTATAGTGTCTCCCCATAGCCAGGCCCCCATTACCCTCTGAGGAGATCCCTCCTAAGGGAAGGGGCTAGAGAAAAGGACTATCAGAGACCACTGGACTCCTGGGTTGGACAGCCCAGAGCCTGTGGGACTTAGCCCAGTGTTTGGTATACAGTAGATACTTAGGAAATGTTTGCTCAGTGAATACTGGGTGACTCCTTGGGCCAGACCAGATTTGAGGTGGAGGCCCAAATTGGAAACTAAGTCTCCATATACTCTGCCCTTTCTGTGGCACCACCCTTCTATGGTTTACTTTTTGTGCTCAGATGGCTGTGGTTCAAATCACTGCTCTACCACTAGCTTACTGGGGCAAAATATGGGCAAGTTACCAAACCTATCTGGGCCTCAGCTTCCTCATCTATAGAAAATATATGGTAATACCCACCTCACAGGCTTGTTGCAAGTATAGAATGAGATACTATAAATTACTGAGCTTGAGATTCTCTCTCTCCCTCTCTCCCACTCAAGCACTCTCTCTCCCTCTCTCTCTCTCTCACTCAAAAAAGATTCTTTCTCTCCCACTCTCTCTATAGGAGGGTAAATTGAAGGTGGAGTGATTATTTAGCGAGATCCTCTACAGAATTTCAAAGAAAATTTGATTACAAAAATTTAATTTACATACAACTCTTCCAGTTTGGAAAACCCTGAAAAGTCTCAATTAGATTAGAAAAGAAAAGCTGACTTAATGAGGACTAAAACCTATGCAAAAGTGGCAATCACTTGTCAGTGAAACAGGTTTCTTTGATTATGATCCAGGGTCCCATTCAATTCAGCCTAATTTCCTTCTAATGAAATGTGATTATTTTTATCCTAAACTAGAGATGGACAGCACTGCTTGTTTCAAAGGATGGAGGCCCAGTGGAGACAGGGAGCAGGATTGAGTCCTTGTGCTCTCTAGGAGCTAACTGGTCTCCCAGTGACCCTGCATTTGTCTCTTGGTTTCTAGCTTTGGGTGCCTGGGGCCACCCAAAATCAGTGGACCTGACAGCAGAGGATGTGAGAAACTGCTTAACCAGCCCTCCGGTAAGGCCCAGCCTCAGACCCGCCCCACAGCTCCCATCTTCTCCCCATCCCCCATTGGCTCTGTTGCTAGGCTTTCTCTCTACCTGCCTTTCACCTGGCTTCCAGGCTCTGGGGCTACAGTGTCTGATTAACATCCATCAAGGCGGGCAGCACATTCTCAGGTGTCTGACATGCACGCCTCATCCTTCCCTCTCATCCATTCCCACAGCAGGTTATCTACCTCTGTCTGGGTTTGGGCAGCCCCCCTAGAGGGGAGGAGGAGGGTCAAAAAGGAGGGTGAGGGGCTTTAGGTAGCCTTGGCTGAGGCTGGGCAGAGGCAAGGAGGAAGATGGGAGGGAAAAAAAATTTGTAAAGGAACAGCACAAAGGGAGGCACAGAAGAGAGGAGGGAGGAAGACACCTAGAAAGGCCAACGAAAGGGCGAGAGGTAGGCCCTAGGGTGTGACTACAGGAGAAGGCATAGCATATAGAAACTGAAAGGTCTCAGCCTCCTAGCTGGAGACAAGAAGATTCTTTCCACACCCAGAGTAAGGCGAAAGAGCTTCTTCAGTCAGGGGGAGGCCAGAGGCGAAAACTGGTGGCCTGCCAGCAGTTCACTAAGCCTCAGAGCCAATGGGGTACATCTGCTTGCAATGTCAACTTTTTGAGACCACTGGGGCAGTCAGATGGGTGGGGCGGAAACTTGAAAAAATCCCCAAGGTAAGACTTCCTGATGAAATATAGGCTGCGCAGTTACATCTGAATTTCAAATAGTGAATAATGTCTTAGTATAATTATGCCTCAAATAGTGCATGGGACATACTTATACTAAAACATTATATGTTGCTTATCTGAAATTCACATGTGACTGGATGGGCATCCTGTATTTTTATTTGCTAAACTGCCAATTCTGCTGCCAAGGTATCCAAAGAAAGATCGTCCTTCTAGCCTGGCCCAGTGCCAGGGCTCAGATCCCTAAAGTTCTCATCTATGCCCCCACCCGAGACTCAGGTCCCATTATTGTCACAAGGAGTTTCTCTCCAAGTTCTTCAACACCTCCATTTTTTCTCAGCCCAGGCACCTTATTCTAGACACACCCATAACATCAGCTGCCACCCCTTTCCTCTCCAGGCTGGCCCAGCCTGGCCACACCCAGCACAGGCTTAAGGCGGGGCTGGTGGCTCCTCTGGATGCGGGGACCCAGGCATCATTTTCTCTAAGCAATATGTGTCTCTGTGTGCATCTTGGTGTCTTCCTGTCACATGTCAGTACCTTCCAGTTACTGTGGTCAATACCACAGCACGGCTCGCAGACCTCCGCCACCAGATGCACATCAAGAATCTTTCAGCCTACATCATCCCTGAAACGGATGCCCACATGGTAAGGGACAGCTCCTCCCCCACCCTTGCCCTCTACTATCCTGGGTCAACCACCAATGAGAACAGGGTACAAACAGGAGGCTGCTAAGATTCAGAAGATGAAGGCAGAGAAATGACTCAAATGGCAAAGGGAAGGAAGTAGGAGGCTTGGACATGTGAGTTTTAGGGTAGCTAAGAGAATCTATTCTTTTACATAGGAGAGAAGACATTGCCAAATCTTGCCTTCAGGCAATGAAACTATAAACAAGTTTAGAATCAATTTTGATCAATTCCTAGATGGCAGGTCCAGAATGAATGTTCAGGGCATGCCTGCCCTAGGAGATTAGAGCGTGGGCTAGGAATTGGACCAGAAGAATTCTAAGCTCCCTTCCAGCCCAGCCTTTCCCATAACTTGGTGGATTGAGCATTGGAATGATCAAGAGTCCCAGACTACACAAGTTTGGGGTATAGGGTGAGGAAGGGGAGGAGACAGGAAACAAGATGGTCTGAACAAGAACTGCTTTTCCCAAAGCAACAGTCCTACCAACCCATCCCATGCTTTCCCCACCACTGGCTCCCCTTCCATCCCATCCACCTTTTGAGCACTAGCCTGTTTGGAAGAGAAGGCATTTTAAGTGTTATAAGATTGCTTGAACTGGTTTTCTCATCTTGGGTAAGTGTCTCAACTTCTCTGAGCCTCAGTTTCCTCTTCTGCAGGAAATAATGAGATCTGTCTCAAAGGATTATGATAATCAAAATGCAATTATGTAGAAAGCCCTCTGCAGAAGTTATTCATGATGTACCTAGTGTACTGTACTAGACTGGGAAAGGTGTAGTGACAGTTGGAGTGGAGAATCCAGAAGAACCAAAAGACATGATGCCAGACAACACAGAATTTGCATTCTGACCAGGGAGACAAGAACAGGCCAGTGCTGGATTATGGGATTGAGACTCCGAGAGATACAGTTGTCCAAAGGAAGGGAAGATGCTGAGATCTGGGGGAGTGACAGAGGACTTCCTGGAAGAGGTGCCCAGTGTGCCTGGGCTTGTAGGACAGTTTGAATATGACCAGACAGAAAGAACTGGGATGTGGTTGGGGCCTTGCATGGGGTCTGCGTCCACAAAGAAAGCTAACAACAATGTTGTTGATTTCCTAGAGCGAGTACATCGGCACACGTGACAAGAGGCGTGCGTGGATGACAGGCTTTACAGGGTCTGCAGGTGACAGCCATTACCCAGCCCTTATCACTTCTGTTGGTTGACCCAGAGGTAGTCACAGAAGCTCTAATATGGCCAGTTCTCAGAAGCCAGGACCCCAAGACCTAGTGTTCAGTGGCCCTGTCCCCCCTCTACCATTCTGAAAAAGGTCACCAGGGCATACATCTCATAGCCTACCAGTCATATTTCTCATGAGGCAGACGGCAGGAGGCTTTCTTCCAGTGCTTGCTGCCAGGCGTAGCTTAGCACACTCTGGGCTCCATTTGTGAAACAGCTGCCACTTTCACATCTAGCCACTAGGGGCCCGCTGATGCCCTTCACACATGACTCACCTGGGGAAAAAGTTTTATTTAGTGGGTCCTTCTCCGACATCACTTCACATAGCCAAATGAGACACAAACATAAAGGCACTTTATGGGGTCCCAGTTTCTGAAGGGGCCTCCCACTCTGATCCTGGCCCCCTGAATGAAATACACACTTCCCTTGATGATCCTTAAACATTCCTCCCCTGAGCTTCAAGCTTCCTTGCCTTACCCGTCTTTGCCAAAGACACTGGGTTTGGCTTCTCTGCCTCTCCTCAGCTAAGCCACTGGCTTAGTGTCCCTATCAGCCACTGAGTCTTGATACTAACTACCACGCCATCTTTCCTGAGAGCACCTACATGCAGCATTGACTCTTTCGGAAGGCCAGAAGCAGACCCCACTTGTCCCTTCTTAGGTGAGGCCCTCAACACAGAACAGAGATGCCTGACCCAGGATGGCTTCCCCCAGTGCACTCCCGAATATCTCCTGCCTCACTTTCTTGTAATGGAGGAGGGAAGTTCTTTCTGGAGACCCCTTTGGCATTCTTAGAGCCAGTACCATATTGCCCATGTAGTAACTAAGGCCACCATCCTCACCTTCATCCTCAACTCAAAATTTCTCTATTCTTCCCCAGGAACTGCAGTGGTGACCATGGGGAAAGCAGGTCTCTGGACCGACAGTCGCTACTGGACCCAGGCTGAGCGGCAGATGGACTGCAACTGGGAGCTTCATAAGGAAGGTAAAAGGGTCGCATGGACTTGTCCCCCAAGCTCTGAAATCTGGACTAGGTTCAAGAAGGTACAGGTAAGAGGATGCATGAAAGGCCATACTAGGCTTCTATGGGAAAATTTGGAAATCTGAAGCTGTTCCTCACCTTCGAAGCTGACATCAAGGAGGACAGACCTGGCAGGACTGTCACAGACAGAAGACTGACTGGAGGGCCTGGGACTGTCCCTGGAGATGACACTCCATTCTTTCCTGTCTTCCCCCCCAGTTGATACAACTTCCATAGTCATCTGGCTCCTTGCTGAGGTTCCTGTTGGAGGGAATGTGGGCTTCGACCCCTTTCTCTTCTCCATTGGTATGTTCTTCCCTCATTCCTGCATTTGTCCACAGTAACAAGGGTGACTCTGCCCCTCTGGGATGTAAAGAAGCATACCTTCATAGGAGGGACAGGATGACTCTAAAGACGGAGTGTGTCAAGTTATAGTTGCAGAATATTTTGCAACAAAGATTTACTCATGGGTTGTGTAATGCAAATATATTTTTAAAAATGAATGCATATTTTTTTAAGTCATGAGTACAGAGACCCAACCTAGAAGACTCAGGGAATCATTAAGATCTAGCAGATCTAGCCGACAAATATGCCAGGATGTTCTTGAACCCAGAACTATCCTCTGTGCTCCAGAGCTGTACCAATTATGGTACTAGAGTCACTTGGGAGCCCTCTTCTGAAAGCAGCTTAGAAGGGTCAAAGAAGTTCAGTGGGCTTCTGAGCAAAGCAGCATACTCCCCTCCCCCCAGAATCACAGGTCCCTGAGCTCTGGGAGCCCAGCCACCTGGCCAGCCTGCCCTCAAGGCAGGGGGGGGAGGGGGGTCTTCACAAATATGTACCAAAAGGCTTCCCCTTCTGAACTGGCTTCTTTGCCAGCCTTTCCAATGGTGTGAACATCACCATTCCTTTGGGCTGTGACACTGAAGCTCAGTTACAATGGATAGTACTGAGAAGAGGGCCCCATAGCCATTGGTGCTTAAAAAGATAAGCTTAGCCAGTTGGCTGTGGGCAGGGTTGGGGTGGGCCCAGGGCAATTAAGCTTTGGAAGCTGCAGAAGAAGGCTGAGAGGGCATTCTCTGAGAGAACCAGACTGCTTGGACCTGCTTTGGGCAGCTGGAGCTTCAGGAGTGGAATGGGAGGCAGAGCAGATAAGGACTAACTTTTCCTGAGTCACAATTTTCCTTGCGGTGTGAACAGGCAGGGAACAAGTGACTGCTTCCTGTTTCTGCAGGTTCCTGGGAGAGTTATGACATGGCCCTCATAAACTCTAACATAAAACTGGTGTCCATCACACCCAACCTTGTGGACCAGGCATGGGGGTCAGAGAAGCCTCTGGTTCTGAGCCAGCCCATTTATGCCTTGCAGGAGGCATTCACAGGTAATTCTTTAAGTCCCTTCTCCTTCCCAACTTAAAGCAACACATACCTGTTGCTGCTCCTTTGACTGAAAATTTTGTCCTAAGAACTACCAGAGCAATGGTTCTTGAACCTTTGTGTGCACCTGAATTGCCTGGGATGATCATTTAAAAAATCGATGTCATCTCAAAGAGTCTGAATCCAAAGGTCCTCAGAGCATATTTAGAAAACACTTTGAATAAACAGTGTTAGGACTTGAAGACAGGGGGAGCGGGAAGGGGATCTGAAGACAGAAGGAGCAAGAAAGGAGGAAACAAGGGAGTCAGGGCAAGATGGAAAAAAAGAACCCCACCCCTTTGAAGAGAGAAAGAACATGATATGAGTTGCTTGTCTGGTAGTGGAGACTGGTGGCCTTCCTGTAATAAGATGACTGGGGTCAGGTGGGCCGGGCTGACAAAGGAAGTATATAACTAAGTTCAGGGTCAATCCATGGCACAACTTAGGGTTCAAGTTTTGGCCGGACCACAAAGGAAAGTTGACTGACCTTCCAAATTCTAACATCAATAATTTTCATCTTGACCTCATTGATACCATCTAAATACATCATGAAAGAACAGCATGCTCTACGATTCTGTTAAGTAGTAACTAAAATCCTGACCACGACCAGGCTATTGATTATGAATCACTGTCTTGGCCACCACCACCCACTACCTCCCCAGGAATTCTGAACAAGCCAATGGACTTGGATTCCTAGCAATATTGGGCAATCTGAGAGGCCTCTTTCCACACACAGATCCGTGCACATTTCTTGCTTGAAAAGGAGTCAAAAGAGCAGGAGGGAAATTTCAAAATAGTAAGGATGATGAAACAAGCTAAAACTGCCCAATTTTCTTTATCCGTTCTGATATAACTTGCAGAATCATTCTGGATCTCACAAAAGCTTTTAAAGAAACTTGCTATCCAAGATTGTACCATCATAAGTAATACTCATCCCATTCAGATAAAGAAGGGAGCAGTTATGTTGGGAAGGGGAAGGGATGAAGGGGGAAACCCTTCCAAGGGACTGAGGGAGAATTCACATGGGTTTTGTCACTTCCCACAAGTGACAGGATGCTGAGCCTTCATAGGCTTCTAATCTTCAAGGAAAAGCCATCTGGAGCCAGAACTGAGCCTGGCAGCCCAAGAACAGAGTTCTTGAGTCGCTAAGCTTACAGAGACAAGAGAGACTTTCTCTCCAGTAAATGATAAGCTTTAAAGGGGTCAAAGAGCAAAGAGAAGAATGGGAAAAGTTAATTCAAAGATACCCGTAAGCATCAGACAAATTAAATTTGCCTTCATTTGTTGTCACAAAAAATGTATCACATTCATGAACCTGGATAAGATAATTCCAAGGGAAATAAGCCAGAACAGGCCCCACATTGTATGGTTCCATTTGTATGAAATATCCATTATAGGTAAGTCCATAGAGGCAGAAAGCTGATTAATGGTTCCTAGAGGCTGAGGGGAGAAGGGAATGGGGAATGACTGCCTAATGGCTATAGGGTTTTCTTTTGGGATGATAAAAATGTTCTGGAATTAGTTCTGGAATTAGATAGTGGTGGTTGCACAATCCTGTGAACGTTCTTAAAGCCACTGAATTGTGCACTTTAAAATGGTTAAAATGATACATTTTGTGGTATGTGTATTTTACCACAATAAAATAAAATAATCCTTAAAGAGTATCATACCCAAAGCTTTGGTTCTTGCTGAATAGTTTTGCCTGTTTGCATAAGGTTTTTTTTTAAATGGCATTAAGTTCCTTATGTTAATCTCTGAGTCCAACTATGACCCTTAATGTTCATGACCTTCTGCCAGCAAAATCTGAGCCATGCCTTGGGATGGACCCTTCATGTGTATTACAGAGACTAGGGATAAAAGATGAAAACTGAGGTTCTAGAAACAGGATACAAGCATCCTAGAAAGGACAGCTCTGTGACACAGAGTTTAAGGACAAGTCTGGGAACTGACAGTGTTAGCAAGATGGTCCAGTGTCCATACAAATTAGGAGGGTGGGCCATGTAGTCAAAAAGGCCTGGATGGAAATCTCTGCTTCACCCCTTGCTACCTATGAAAACTCAGACAAGTCACTTTACCTTCCTGAGGCCTCAACATCCTTATTTGTAAAATGGGTCAAATAAGGATGAAAACAATGTTCAAGGACCCGTGTCTTATTAGGCACCAGGTTACTTCAGAATTGAGGCTTGATCATGACCCAGCCTTGTCCCTTTGCCCTTCAGCCAAGGCTGCTCTCTTGATCTCTCTTCTGCATGCTTACTTACAGATCAGAAAGTTACACCAGACTTACTATAAATCAAGATACCATTGTATGTGCAAGACAAATATTAGTTCATGTGATGCCCAACACAACCCTATTGATGTGGATACTGCTATGATAACCCATTCTCATTTTGCACATATGCAAAATAAGACACGGAAGGGTTAAGTAATTTGTCCAAGGTCACACAACTAGTAATGGCAGGACCAGAACTTGAACTCAGTCAGTCCAGAGAGTCCATGTCCTTAATAACTACAGAAGTAAGAGTTTGTTTGAAGAAAGTGTTCTATTGCTTTTAAAGAAATGGGAAGGGGTGCCTGGGTGGCTCAGTAGTTGAGCATCTGACTTCCGCTCAGGTCATGATCTCATGGTTGTTGAGTTTGAGCCCCACATCAGACTCTCTGCTGTCAGTGCAGAGTCTACTTTGGATCCTGTCTCCCTCTCCTTTTACCCCTCCCCTGCTTCCTCTCTCTCTCTCTCTCTCAAAAATAAACTTTACAAAATAAAAAAAAAAAAAGAAAGAAAGAAATGGAAAGTGATTGCCCTAAGGGAGCCCTCTCAGGAACAGAGTGCCAAAGGGAAAATATGTTGCTTATGCTTTCTTTGGCTCCTTTGCTTCAAGGCAGCACCTGGCAGGAGAAAGTATCTGACATCCGCAGCCAGATGCAGAAGCATCCCAAGGCCCCAACTGCCATCCTTCTGTCAGCGCTTGATGAGACGGCCTGTGAGTATGGACTTATGGACTGGATGGGCACCTCAGTCCCCCCAACCTCCAAGCCTCCTGGGCCTGCAACCCAGGACTTCTCCCCGAGTCACTCTATCATCACGGGTTCCGAGAGCTCCATGGCCATGGCCTGTGGGAACTAAGAAGGCTAGAGGGCAGGAGATCATGTCTGCTTAATAAGAAAACCAGGAGGCCCAGAGCAAGCTGGAGGCAGCCCACAGGCCATCAGAAGAAGGGGCTGAGCACATCGGCAAAGGCTGTCCCATGAAGGGAAAGGGGCCTGGCAAACACCTGCCATCAGCTTGGCCACCAAACCAGGGGCATTCAGACTCCCAGCTTTAGCACCTGTTGCAGCCCTATTCTGTTCCAGCATGGCGCAGGGCTTCTTACCTGACCCCAGCTCTGGGCTTCAGATATTCTGGGAACCCACTGGAACTATGCTGCTTGCTGGCAGGGCATCTTCATTTTTCAGGGAGAAAGGGGGTCCATCGCTCTCATCAACACTTCAAAGCCCCCCTCCGCGTCAAATTGAGAAATGTTCAGAGGCAGATGTGCAGGCACACTGCTGGGAATCTTTGGGGCCTAAAGCAAACGGTGGGGCAAAGGTGTGCAAATCTTTGCCTTGGGCAGATCAGCCTCAAAGAGGCCCCATCAATTCTCTTCCCCAGGGCTCTTCAACCTTCGTGGCAGTGACATCCCTTATAATCCCTTCTTCTACTCCTACACATTGCTTACAAACTCCTCTATCAGGTATGGCTTTTCCTTGGCTTGCTTTCCAGGACTTCCTCCAACATTCACCCCTTGCTGCCCTATCACTTACCCCGCCCTAGTAAGCAGCATTCCCAGGAACCTGCTGCCTGCCCCCACAGGATCCTCTGGGAAGCCTCCAGTGGGCTTTTCCTGACCCCTTGACCTCTGTTCCCACCTACTCCAAATATGGTCTGCTTGGATTTTTGCTGAAGTTCCTCTGACCTCCAGGAAGTGCATCAACCTTAGAGACCCTCAGGACCCTCCTTATCTTCCCTTCCCACCCAGCCTATTTGTAAACAAGAGCTGCTTAAACTCTGAGACCCTGAAGTACCTCAACTCCGACTGCCCGGGCTCCATGTGTGTGCAAGTCGAAGATTACAGCCAAGTCCGTCACAACGTCCAGGCCTATGCCTCAGGAAACGTGAAGATCTGGATCGGGACTAGCTATACTACATATGGGCTCTATGAAGTGATACCCAAGGTAGGTTTGCCAGGCCCCAGCCTGGGACAGGCATCGTCCCTGCCCCTGCTCCATCCCTGATAAGTCTCAACCTAAAGTCTCAACCTTGGCCATTCAGGCAGTTGGTCAGTCCCCTTCTAGGCCTCCCTGGGAGGAGATGGAAAAAAAGGGAGTAGATGTCTGTCCACGGAGAGTTCAGAGATTGTCAAGAAGACTAGAGAAGGAACAGTCTGAAAGAGCAGAGGCTTTGAAGTCACCAAACCTGAGATTGGGTCTTGGTTCTGCCCTAAACTGGCTGTGCAATGACCTTGGACAAGTGACTTAGCCAGTCCGAACCTCTGCTTCCTCACCTATAAAATGGCAATAAGAGTCCTGACCTTAGAGAACTTGCTCTGAAGAAATTTAGAGGAGATGGTCTATGTAAAGCCTGCTGCCTGGCACACAGCAGTCACTCAGTAAATGGTAGCTGTTATGATATGATACATGCAAGAAACTCACATTGCTAGATTAGCCCATTGACGGGGGGGGGGGGGGGCAGGTGCTAGAGTCTGATCCATCCCAGAGCACTGGTGGGATCCCGGGGCAGGGAGAGAGGGAGACAGAGAGAGAGAGATAAGATTAAACTGGACAGAGAAGATGGGGAAAGACCCATGTAGCCAGAAAGCACAGAAAGGAAAGGTCATTGCCATTATAGGGAAGAGCAAGTCTCCCCTCAGCTGGGCTTTCCTGCCAATCCTTTTCAAACACCACTGTGTCCTGGAGATGCTCCCAGACCTCTTCCTCTCTGTCCATAACAGGAGAAATGCATAGAAGACACCTACTCCCCAGTGATGGTGACCAAGGCAGTGAAAAATAGCAAGGAGCAGGCCCTCCTCAAGGCCAGCCACGTAAGTCATGGGCAGACTAGCCTTTTGGGAACTCCTGGTCTGATGAATAAGAAAGGATTCAAGGAAAGTTCAAGGAAGAAGTTCAAGAAAACAGAAAAGTGGACACCAAACACCTGGGCACCCATCTGGGCTTCATCCCCTTATGCCAGACCTGGTACAGTGGTTTAGGGCGTGGTTCTTAGAGCTAGGGTGTCTGAATTCAAATCCCAACTCCTCTACCTACCTCCCAGCTGGGTGACTTTGGGCAAGTTGCTTCACCTCTCTGGGCATCAGTTACTTCATCTTCAAAATGAGTATCATAACAGTAATCTACAGCATAAGGTTGTTTTGAGGATTAAATAGATAAACATATATGCTATACAATATATAATATGTATAAAATATATAAGTAATCTATAATTAATATATTAATTGTAATATATAAGTAATATAAAATATAATATATAATCATATATATGTGTGTACATATATACATTTACATGCATAGACTATGTGTATACATATAAATATATACTTATATAAATAAATATATATGAATATATGAGTATATAAATTATATAAATACATAATTATATACATAGTATATACTATGTACATAATTATACAATTACACACATATAATTATATTGAATAATTATATATATATATATGTATATATATCTTTTTTCTTTGATCACTGCCTGGCACATTCCAAGTGTTAAATGAGTGTTAGCTGGCCTGATTTCTTCACCCTGGCAAGATGATGGCTTGCTCTTTTGGATATTCCTGTTCAAATTAGAAGAAACACTTCATTTTACAAAACTTTCTTATAGATCATTTTAAACGGAGATAGAAGTAGAGAAAATAGCATAATGATCCCCACACAGTACCTCTCTGCTCCAGCCCTCTTCAGCTCCTGGCATTTGGTCTACAACTCCAAGTTCATTGCCTACGCCCCCACCCTCCCCCACCTTCCGCTGCTGGCTGATTTTAAAGCAAATCCCAGGTATCATACAGTGTCTCCTGTCAACACCTTAGTATCTCTAAAAGAGAACACTTCAGGAAGTGTCTCTAAAAGATAAGAACTCTTTGCAGAACATAACCACACCGTAATCACATATAAACTTTAACAAGAATCCCTTAAGATCATCAAATAGTCAGTGAAACCCTCGAGTTTCCAAAGCTCAGCTCCTGGAGCAGCCGCCTGATCCCCTTGATCCCAGAGCCCTGGCTGCGATCCTGCAGCAGCCCGCTCCTCTGCTTGCCCGCTGCAGGTGCGGGACGCCGTGGCTGTGATCCGCTACTTGGTGTGGCTGGAGAAGAACGTGCCCAAAGGCACGGTGGATGAGTTCTCGGGGGCGGAGCTACTCAACAAGTTCCGAGGGTGAAGAACCGCTGCCGACATTTTGACCAACTATCTTTAAGGGTGGGGGTGGGAGCAGGGAGGGGCACCTGGTCTCTTTACTTCAGCGGGAAGGAAGACCCTCTTTGTATCTGGGGGCCTCTCTGAAACAAGAAGTAGCAGGTTTTGGGGGAGGCCGGGGAGCTGGTCAGGGCGGGTTGGATGACAGTGCCCGGAATCACTGAAAATGGGACACCTAGAAGGGCCAAAACCCATCAGTGCCCCCTGGTGTCTGCTTCAGGCACAGACCCTGCCTCCCTGGGGAAGGCTGGCTCAGGCCAGGTGGGGCTCCTGGGTCGCTGGCAAATATCTAGTTGCAGAGTGAAGTCTTCTGAGGGCACGCATGGCCCAGGCCATAAGCATACTGTAGGTTTGAGGTGCAGGATGCTGCTCTGGGGCTGGGGAAGCTTTCAGACGCAAGTTGCTAGGTTTCTTCACTCCCGCTTTACCATGAACTCACTGTGGATAATGGGCCTCGGTTTCCACATCTGTAAAGTGGGGGAGGAGGGGGATGAATTGGTGTCTACGGTCCCTCCTTCTCTGACCTTGAATGCTCTATAACTGACAGACTGGAGCCTGGGAAGACGGTACCAGGAGGTGGGGCTGGGAGAGCCAAATGGAGTCTGGCTGAGTGAGGCAGAGGCAGCCATAACCTTCATTTGCCCTGATTAGATACACTGGGTCTAGCCTAGACTCTGAGCCCATCCACTGACCATTCCTTCCATGTACTTTACAGAGAGGAACAGTTTTCCTCTGGACCCAGTTTCGAAACCATCTCTGCTAGTGGCCTGAATGCTGCCTTGGCCCACTACAGGTACTTCAGGAGAAGGAATTTTCTGGGGCCCTGTAGGTGTGGGATCCTGGGGTATATGCAGGGGGGAGGGAGTGTGGAGGAAGGAATGCTCTGAGGCCCGGGGCGCACATTTAAGGTTTGAGACCTGTTAGCTCTGTGGAGGCTCTGATAGGCAGTGGAGTTCAGTCAGGAATTGGAGTCTTCTTGGAATTAAAAGGCCTGAGCAATTTTCCCCACAAAAGACTGAGACATTGTGAACACACAGGGCTGAGGGATCTGGAAGGAAGGCAGGGCTCCTTCTGGATGTTTTTCCTTGGCTTCCTGTGAGTTATTTTTATTAGCTAATTCTTAAAGCTCTCGAGTACATGGGGAGAAAGCCCTATTCACCCAACCTGAATCAACTAAGGAGGGCCCAGATGTAGGCTAACCACATGTTTGGCTCCATAGAAAACAAACACCTGCAGGCCTGCCTGATAGAATTTGGGGACCCAAACCCACCAGAATGCCTCAGCCTGGCATGGGCCTAGCAGGAAGAGATCAGATAGATGTCCCCCTTTGGCCAACTTGGCCTATCCTAGAATTCCCTTCCCTGGGGTCTCCCAAGCCCGCAGCTGCCTTGGCCCGCCCCTTCTCCCCTCTAGAGAGTAGCAGGGTAGGAACTCCTTGGCCCTACCAACTCTGGCTCTCCAGCGCCACCTTCAAGGACCCTCCTTTCCTATTCCCTGGCTTCTCTGTGGCCACAGAAAGTTAGAGAGAGAGCACTAGACTGAGCATCTGGGCCCAGGCCGAGCTCCTCCCCAGCTTTACGGCACAGCCTGCTGCCAGCCCCTTGGCCACTGCAGGCCTGTTTCTCCTTATGTAGAAGGAGATGGCTGCACTCGTTGCCCTCTGAGGCTCTCCAGGCTCCTGCATTCTGGGTTCCTTCCTCTCTCCCTTCCCGGGTACCAGGCCCTTGCTTGGTGAGGCATAAGACAAGCAGATGTGCACTGAGTACATTAGCAGCATCGACTGAGTACTCTTCCAGGGCCCTTTGGGAAATAAGGGGTGAGGGTGTTCCTCTGCTTCCACTTGGGACCCCCCCACCCTGACCAGTGCAGGGTTAGGCTACTCCTTTCTCAGTGGCTCTCCCCTTCCTAGTCCAACCAAGGAGGTGCACCGGAAGCTATCTTCAGATGAGATGTACCTGCTGGATTCTGGGGGACAATACTGGTATGTACTCCCCACCCTGCCCTGCCCAAATATCTCAGCTCAGACATCCTGGGCTGCCTAAGAGCTGGCCAAAAGCTTTCCCTTCCTGGGTGTGGATCCTTTGTATGAGAAAAGAGAGCCCTGGATTGAATGACCCTGAGCATCATTCCCATTTTCACACTTGGGGATCCCGGCACAGTGGGAAACACACAGAAGCCAAGACATTGGGGATGCCCATGCAGCACCTCTGGGAGAATCAGAAACATCTTTCCTTGCTCCAGTAAAATGTTTTATAAGCCTGCATATTATTACATAGTCTGAACAGTTATGCTTAGCAGCCCTGCCTGGCTGCACAAACACTGCACCCATATTCTCACCAACTCATGCACACACCAGCAGAATGCATCCTCCTCAGCCCTCTCTTCCCATACTGCACAGATGAGGTGACCATGTCAGGCTGGGAGTGGGGTAAGATTAGGCCTCCACAAGCAGAAGGCAAGTGAGGAGAGAAACAACCTCAGAGGATGCCCAGAGCACAGCTGAAACAGGGCACACCTATCAGCATGGGTATGTCTGTGAGTAGATATGTGTGAGTGCTCTTCAGAGTGTGTACATGACCATGTAGGGTTATGTAGGAGGATACTCTCTCCCCTCCCCTGCTCCAAGACTCCACAATCTGTGTATCAACCTGTGTGCTCTCATTGAAATTAGTATATAACCACAAAGTGACTGGTACCCCTTCAGATGTGTTACCTTTGTACAGTGCACAATCTGAACACCCATACATGACAGCCATGCAGAATTCACTAAATAACCCCGGTTTTTCCAAATTTGTGACCAATCATTCACACAAGAGTTGAGATGAGATGAGCCAGTAGATGTTTTCCTTCTTATCTAGGAAGCAAGTGGGTTGTAGAAAAGCTTGGGCAGGGTTGGTGGGGCTGGGGGGCGGGGGCAGGTCAGGAAGGGGTGTGCTGAACTGATGGAAAAGCAAGGAGTTGTTTCAGTTTCCCATTCTCTATCCTGTGGAAATGGTGAATGTGCCAATGGCAAAGGCTCTTCGCTTATTATTAGCATAGCTCTGGGAGCTAACCCGAGAGCTTAGCCCAGCAGTCTTCACTCGTCACCAGTCTGGCATTGGGTGACTGTGTACTTGAAATGGCCAATGGGCAAAGAGGAAGTGAATTTGTGGGGCGTTGCTGGATTGGGGCATGCTCAGAGCAGGGTGAGGCCGGGGACATGGTCACCTCACTTCCCCTTCTCCTCTTCTGAAGAAGTCTGCCACACCCTGTGACCTGTTCCAAGGAGGAATGCCCAGGGCCCTGGGACCATGTCTCCCCTCCCCCCTCTTAGTGGTAGCCACAGGGGCCATCTGGGGAAACAGCTGCTGCTATGGTTGGGAGTCAGAGTTTTTGGCTTCTGGCTTCAGTTTCCTGGGACTCTGAGCAAACCCTTGGGTGAGATCCATGTTTACAAGGAGAAAGCTGTGTAGGGAGTCAATGCTTGCTCAAGGTCTGTCTTCACTGAGGCTCAGAAAGGGAGATGGCTCATGGCCTCAATTGCCTTATCTGGGAAATGAGGATGATGAGGCACCCTCTGCTACCCTTCCCAGGGAGCTGCAAAAGTGTTCTAGAAATGGTAAATAACTATGTGAATGTGTAAGAGTATGATGGTCTCTTTGAATCTCAGTTTCTCCACCTGTAAAAATGGGATAGTCCCCTCCCTCTTGCCTCCCTGAAAGCCTGGTAGAAAATTTGCTTGTAAAGCCAGACTGAGCCAAGAAACTCAGATTTGTAAAACAGCCAAAATAGGTGCAATGGGGGTGGAGTATGTATGTGGGGGATCAGAAATGTCAGACAACATAGTGATTCTGAACTTAATAGCTTTGCAGAGTCCCTTTATGCACAGATGCTAAAGATGGGAAATTGACAATGGCATCTATGTTCTTCCTTTAGCCCTAACTCACCTCACCCCCACCTTACTCTTACCACTCAAACCCCAGTGGGAAGCACACACGAAGCACATGGCCAAGCTGTATATGCTGATTGTCCTTCTCCACAGGGATGGAACCACAGACATCACCAGAACAGTCCACTGGGGGACCCCCTCTGCTTTCCAAAAGGTAAACATTGGACCCAGAATGCCCCTACCCACCTTTACCCAAGGGACACCCAAGCAATTACTCCAGCCAGCAAGAGCCCTTCATCTTGCAGAGGTTAAAGCTGAAGCCCAGAGAGGTAAAGTAGTTTGCCCAAGTCACACAGCAAGTTAGTACCAGAAGACCCAGTGCTCCTGGCTACTTCCCCAGAAATATTTCAGGCCACTGACGGGGCCTCAGCCAAAGGTTATCATCATTCCATTTCAGTGAATCAGTGGACAAATATTTATTTAGTGCTGTCTGTGTGCCTAACCCCGTGCTCAGTAGAAAGGAGGGGAAAAAAGGCATTCCAGACAGACAGAAATCGCATGAGCAGTCTCAGAGGCAGAGGTGGAAAGGAGCTAGAAGTTTCCAGAAAGCAGCGAGGGCTGGCCCACCTGGAACAGAGACTGGGATGTCATCTCTGTACACTGGGGGCTTCTGGGTGGTAGGGAACAGGGAACCATATTCATGTGTTCAGCAAGCAAACTGGGGCTCAGACGTGGTGCTGGAAATAAAGAACAAACAAAAGCTGGCCAGGCCTCAAGGAGCTCAAGTTTAGTGGGTTGAGTACACTGCCCCAGGCTGTCATGCACAAGATGACAAACCTGTGTGCTTGTGTGCCTGCGTGCGTGTGCGTGTGTGTGATGAGAGGGACATACCACATTGCCATAAGGAGTGAACAGGAGAAGAGGTTGCTGTCAGCCCACCTCCCTCCCTTTATCTTCAAGGTAAACAACGCAACTGAGCAAGGCTGACCTGCCAGATTGTGAGGCCCCAATCCAAACCTGAGGCCTGAAGGAAACTCAAGGATGGTCATAATAGTAATAAGGGCACTGACCTATATTTGAACATTTACTGTTTGAAGCACCTCATGTGCATGAGTTGACCTACTTTTCCCAACAACCTTGCGAGCTGGTACTGCGATCATTCCATTACAAATGAAGAAACTGAGGCACAGAGTGGTTAAAGTAGCTTGCCCAAGGTCTCAGACTTTGTGAGTGGCCAAGTCAGGATTCTAGCCCAGGGAGTTTGCCTCCCAACCCCATACTGTCAGGCCTCAGCCCACCATCATCTATAAGAGTCTCTGTGGACCAGTTAAAGAGAACCACATGGACCAAGCTCCAGCTTTCAACACGTCCCCCTCAGAAACTCCCAGGATCCTCCTCTTACTCACCATGTTACCTCTCCCTCTCCCCATCAGGAGGCATATACCCGTGTGTTGATAGGAAATATTGATCTGTCCAGACTCGTCTTTCCTGCTAATACATCAGGTGGGTTTTGGAAACCAGGCTGTACCCAGGGGTCCTGATTTCACTGGACCCAGACTGCCACTCTGGAAGGCTAGTGCAGCAGGGATTATATCACCATCCCATCCATTGTATTGATGAGAAAATCCATCCCAGAGAGTGAAAGCAGCTTGCTCAAGATCACACAGAGGATTACTGGGAGAGCCAAGCCTTCCACCCAGGCCTCCTGCCTCCTAATCTAATACTATACCTCAGTGGGGAGGGGGCAGCTGCTGTGGGCTGTAGCCGTCATGGGAGGATTCCTAGAGGAAGCAGATGTCTTGGTGGACGGGGAGAAATTATAGTAGAGCCATCAGTCTAGGTAATGTAAGTATAACGTAGGATGTGCTGAAAATAGTGCATGCTAACCTGCCTCTCAGGAGCCACTCTCCACAGGTACCATCTTGGTAGTTGGCTCTGGGACAAGAGCTTAGGAAGGGGCGAAGCAGACAGAGGTCAGGCTGACTGACTGGGGGCCATCTCTCTTCCAGGGCGAATGATAGAGGTGTTTGCCCGCAGAGCCTTATGGGATGTTGGGCTCAATTATGGTCACGGGACAGGCCATGGCATTGGCAACTTCCTTTGTGTGCATGAGTGTAAGTGTCTCGTCAACACTTCCCTGGGCTCCCCCCCTCTTGTGAAGGAGATAGAACATTGCACTGGTATGGAAATGACCAAGCCCCACAGAGATGCAGTGACCCACCCAGGATTAACCGGCTGATGGGAGGTGATGCTCCACGGGGTAAGTGAGAAATCCTGGCAACTGGCCACTCCTGCTGCTTGCTTGGCATCCAGGAGGGCCTCAGAGAGAGGAGTGGCAGGTCAAGGCCTAGCAGCTGGCTGGCATAGACACCAGAGTAATAAAAAGCAGGGCCAAAGTGGTCTCTGTGCCAGCCCCAGCTAGACAAATGATGTGGTGGACAAGTGCTGCTGGAGAAGGCCCAGCTTCCCCAGTTGGTTTCCCAGTTACCTGCTCTTCCCCAGAGCCTGCTAGTTTCCGAGCTGGAGAGTACGAGAAAATTAACACCATGCCTACATCTCCTCTTCCAGGGCCAGTGGGATTCCAGTATGGCAACATCCCCATGGCCAAGGGCATGTTCACCTCCATTGGTATGTCTCATGGGCTCTTCCACCCCCTCCCCACCCCAAGATTAGCCCAGAACTATAGTCGAGGGAGTGCCAGCCTGCAGGGAGCATGCCATGCACAGATCTACTGGGCTCCACCACTCTCAGTCCCGAATGGATTGTCACACCCCAATCCTAGATCCCTTCAGCTCATACACTCATTTTGCCTTTGGGGGTCAGTTCCTGGCTGTACATCCAAACTCTGGAGTCTCCACTCAAAAGCTGGGGTAAGAGGACAGTAGTACACAAGGAGATGGGGGTGCCTCCAGGATCCAAGTGAGCTCTTAAGTCTTCCCTGCTGGGCTACAAGGCCTGGCAGGTTGCCTCTGTGTGGTCAGTGAGCATATACCCAGTGGTGGGTCTGCTCAAGCCAGGGGTCAGCCAAACAGCTGGGCCCTCCAGTCACTCCTCAATTGGGACAGGAAACACGGGCTTGGGTCTTCCTCCTGCTTAATATCACCAGCATCTCTGCGTCTCCTAGAACCTGGTTACTATCAGGATGGAGAATTCGGGATCCGTCTTGAAGATGTGGTCGTTGTGGTAGAAGCAAAGACCAAGGTAAACTGCTGCTGAGGTGGTCTAGAGCTGTGGGTGGCACAGCAGTGACTTTGGGTTGCATGGGGTATTAGGAGGGTCAAAGGAGAAGGACATTTATTAGGCAGACATGAATTTATTTGGAGTTTTCCTGGGCTCTAGAAAAATTCCATAACTTAGGGTTTCTCAAATCTGTTTGCACACTAGAATATCCACATCATCAAAAGAGCTTTTTGTTTTTAATGCCAGTGCCCAGGTCCCACCCTAGACCTAAATGAATCCATATACTTGCCCTAAATCATTGGTCCTCAATGCGCATAATAATGGCCAGAGGAGCTTGTTAGACATGAAGATTCCCTATAATAGTGGCCAACAGGATAAAATACCTATATATCAACTTAAAAAGACTTATATGGAAAAAATCTCTACTGAGGGACATAAAAAAGATTTAAGTAAATGGTGCTCTCTGGAAAGAAGCCTCAATATTATGGAGATGTCATTTCTCCCTAAATTAATCTATACATTCAAGACAACCACAATTTCAATGCTAACTGGATGCTCTTGTGACTTCACAAAATGATAGTAAAGTTTATTTCTAAAAATAAACGTGCAGAAATAGCTAAGTAGCTATTTATAGCTAAGCTAGTAAAATTCTGAAAAGGAAGAGCAATAAGGGAAACTAGCCTTTTCAGATATTAGCACAGACTCTGAAGGTACTGTAACTAAAACAGTATGGCACTAGAAAAAGACAGATGTAACAATAAAACAGAATAGTCAGTCCAGAAATACACCCTCTAATTTCTATATACAAAATGGGAATTTAATTTATAATAAAGCTGGTATTTCAAAACAGTCAAGACCATAGATATTTAATAAATGGGCAGGGGGGAAAATGGCTAATCATTTTGGGGGCTTATAAAGTGAAGAACCTTACTGTTACACCCAAATAAAATTCTGAATGGATCAAGATTTAAAGGTAAAATCATAAAAGATCTTGAAGAAATTCTATATAAATTCATTTATGTAGGGTGGAAATGGATCTTTCTATGCAAGACCTGGAAGCTGTGAAGGAAAAGATTGATAAATTAAATTTAAAACTGTCTCTATGGAAACAAGACGATAAACAAAGTCAAAAGATGTATGACAAACAGAGCACATACAACAGAGAAAGAATGCATTTCCTTCTTTCACCATAAGCTTTTTACAAATCGATAAGACAAAAATAGGGAGGGAAAATAATCAAAGGGCACGAAGTGACAACTCACTAAGATCAACACAAATGCTCCATAAACGTGAAAAGATGCTCAACTTTATTCTTAAAGAAATACAAATCAAAACAACAATAGAATATCAAGTTTCACCTGTCTGATTAGCAAAAATGAGAGATTTTGGTGATACCCAGTACTGGTGAATGTATGAGGAAATGGGCCCTCTCACATACTGCTGGAGGAAATGCAAATTGATACAATCTTTCTGGAGGACAATTTGACAATATCTATCAAAACATCGATTTAAAATGCCTATCCATTTTGTCTCAGCAATCCCTCTGCCAAATATGTATCTTCTGGATATAGTCCCAAAAGGTCACCAAGCCATTTTATACACTGATGTTGATTGTAGTATTTTCACTATAGTCATAGTGTAAAAGAAGTGGAAACAGCCTAAATATCCATTACTGATTAAGTAAATCATCATCTGCATACTATGGACCCTCATGCAGCCCTCAGAAAAGAGTGAGGTAGATATCTTTGTGCTAATATGCAGTGCTCTCCTACGTTTACTATTAAGAGGGTGGTGAAAAGATGCAGAAAAGCAGGTGGTAGGATCCATTTTGTGTGGATTAAAATACATACATACATACATACATACATACATACATACATACATACCGTATATGTCTTTAATGTTTTCAGGAAGGAAACCAGGCAGGGAGGATACTTTCAATTTTTATTGTGTATCCTTTTGTAGTTTGAGTTTTCTAAGCACAAGCATGCAAAGGATCTCTAGGAAATGGGAATTATGGACTATTTTTTCTTCTTTATATTCATCTCTATGGTTAGCTCCATTGATAGATACAAAGAGATGTGGCTGGATAGAGAGAGGAATATATAGAGATGTAGACTACATGAATAGATATAAAAACCTAATAACTTACCTTAAAATTATTTCAATGTAGTTTCCCAGCACTGTGCTAGAGATTTTCACTCCAGTGGTCTGGGGGTGGGGAGACCCTGGAATCTACATATTTAACAAGCCCCCTCAGTGCTGTAGATGCACACCCTTTGAGAAGTACAGACCTAAGTCTAAATTTTAGGAATTCAGAGGGAAGGACCAAAGGTGAAGTGCTAAGTGATAGACTGGGGTTTGGAGGTAGCCAAGGGGACTGTAAGAGGTTGAGGCCTATCTTGAGTCTCAGGCTTGACAAAAGTCAGTTCCTTATGCCCATGGCTTGAGTGGAGTGTTCCCCCTCTCCCTTCAACCTAGCACCTTCTCCTCACTCATTCTTCTGCTTTCCTACCCAGTACCCGGGGTCCTACCTAACATTTGAAGTGGTATCCTTGGTGCCCTATGACCGGAACCTCATTGATGTCAGCCTGCTATCTCCAGAGCAGGTAAGGGATCCTCTGCACTTCCATGTTTTCGCCCGTGAACCACTGACTGCCTTCTTCCCAACCCTGGGCCTCTCTCACCTCTTCTCACCTTACCCCAAGACCCTCTGCCACTTCCCTCGCCTGGGAGGGTCCACACTGTTGGCATTTGTAGGCACACCCTGGGGCATCCTTCCCATACTCACCAGAGACCCCAAAGCTTCCAGAACTTTCTGGTCCGACCAACCTACCCAGCCCCAGGTACTGAACTCCTGGGGAGTCTGAGACTGAGTCTCTGGACTCTGCCACTTCAAGTGCTAGGATAAGCCTCAGTCCCTTCTTCTGTAAGATGGGAATACTTATTCTTGCTCTACTTTCATTCCTGAGCCTGTAAGCCACTTTGATCTGCCACCCATCCCATGAAAGTCACTATGACACTAAACAGCCACTGTGGTGAACTGCCTCTAAAAAGGCCGAGAGAATGCCTGTGGCCTGAGGATGTCTGGAGACCTGTGGGGTACCTAAGAGTACCTGGGCTGAGGTGGGAAGCTGCAGTACCACAGCAGGGGAGCTGGATGGCACCGAGGCCTCACTTCTTGGCAGCCTGGCCTGGGGAGGCCCTCACCCCTCCTTCCCTTTGCAGATCCAGTACCTGAACCACTATTACGAGACCATCCGCAAGAAGGTGGGCCCAGAGCTCCAGCAGCGGCAGCTGCTGGAGGAGTTCGAGTGGCTACAGCAGCACACGGAGCCCCTGTCAGCAAAGGCCCCTCATACGACCCCCCTAGCCTCTCTGTTGGCAGTCTTCTCTCTGGCCATCTTCAGCTGCAGTGTCTAGAGGCTGAGACTCCCTAGCCAACCCTCTAGCTCAGCTCCCCTCACCCTGCACTTCCCTGCCAGCCCCTTGCTCGAAAACCACTACCCTCAGCCTCCTTCTCCAGGATGAAGTCCCACAGACACAGGGCTGCTTGGCCCCCGCGCGGGCCCTCTCTAGGCTTGTACACCTCACCCTGGCCTCCCAACCCCTAGCCCTGGGATAGGAAAGCTAGCTACTCCCTTTCCCCCCTGTGAGCCCAGTAGGCCTAACCGATCTATAACTTGGAAGAGCCTCTTACCACTGGCCCCCCTCAAGACCACTATAAGGCAGTACCCTAACCCCTGGGGAGTCCATGGCCCTGGGAGAGCCCCACCCTATCGCCACCTGCTGGATAGAGCCAGAGCTGTTCCCACCCCCACTGGCTCCTGGCATGCGGGTCTTGGGTCTTTCCACACCCTCGAAGCTGCCTCTGACCACTCCCACCTGTCCCTGGCCCGCCAGTGCCCTCCTGGCTGCGAGCACAGGCTGAAGGAACCAGGGTGGCCTCCAGGCTCCCTGCTGTGACTGTAGTGGGAGAGGAAGGAAGAGTGGCTGAGTGTTCTGGTTACGCACTGCAGCCAGGAAAGCTAGCCAGAAAAGGGGCATGTATATCAGCCTGCCCCACATGTGAGCCCATCACTTCTAAACCTTGGGTGGGTTCCGTGCCATTTGACAGGATAGGAAGTTAAGCCATAGGACTTTGGCCAGGGGGTAGGAGGGCATGTGGGGAGCATTCTGGAATATGACCTCACTCAAAATTGGGAACAACCTGAGCAGCAGTGCTCAATCACTATCCCAGACTTTCTAGCACATGGGTAGCCCTTTTCACTTTCCAAAATGCAGCCACAATGACAATGCTGTTAAATCCCCCAGCATCCTTGGATGGTTTTTAACCTGTGTGGGCTGGTTTAACCTGTTTGAGTCTGGTTTCCCCATTTTACAGATAGGAAAACTGAGCTCCAGACAGGTGGGACCTCTCCAAGGACACACAGCATTTGGCGGGGACTTGGTGGATCTAGAATGCACCAATAGTCCAGCTGTTTTGCCCTTTGGCACCATGGAAAATCCCTTACCATACCTCCCAGCCCCTTCCAAGTTCACTGAGCCCGTTGTTGGGGGCAGGGCAGAGGGGAGGGAGGCAGAGTTTTCTTTGGTCAGCCCTGCCGTTAGCCACCTGGGCTCACATCCTGCTTGGTGCTTAAAACAGCATGGCAACGAAGCCTGCCTCTGGGTTTTGCATTGTGTCTTCTGTGTTGCTGGGGACTGCTGTTACCTGTGGCTTTTGTGGTGGGGGGGAAGGGGAGGGAGTGAGATGGGGGGTAGGGACATGAGGCTCCCAGAAGCTCGGTTGGGGAGCACATGTGCTTGAGAATGTGCATGTGAGCATGCGTGCATGTACATGTGTGAACATTCACGTATTTGCATACATGTCACGCCCAGCCAACCACCTCCTGTGCTAAAGGTTGGGTAGCCTTCTGGAGAGGATGGAAGGGAGCCCCATGCTGTGAGACTTGTCAAACGTAGTCTGGGAAAGTTGAAAGCAGCACCTTTGCTCAGCAGAGCACAGTCAGGGGGAGGAGAGAACCAGTTTTCTGGGGCAGATTGCTGGGTAAAGGCACCAGGCAGAGTTCCCCCGCCTGTGACCACCAGGCCTAGTTTGCTAACTGTGACAGTTTCCACCACCGATGTTTGCATCGAAAGGCCCCAGGTCTGCGTTGTCCTCACTGAGAGCCAATAGCACCCAACAATGGGCCTCTATCTGCTGAGTCATTTACTCTCTCACCCGGTCACCCCACAAAGACAGCTTACTAATAATAAAGTGATCACTACCATCATCATCCTGATCCTCATCAATACTACCATGCACTATTTAGTCTGTATGAGGCACTGTGCTTTAAACATTGTTTTATTTTATTGTGGTAAGAACACTAAACATGAGATCTACCCTCTTAATAAATTTTCAAGTGTACAATGCATTATTGCATTTTCCCACTTAATCTCCACAACCTCTGAGAAGGTACTTTTATTATTCCCATTTTTCAAGTGAAGGAAATGAGTGAGGCTTATACAGATTAACCAACTTGCTCAAGGTCACTCCTCAAGGAAGTGAGAAAAGCAGATTCAAACCAGTCAGATGACTCCAAAACCCACTTTCTCAGAAAAGGGCAGGTGGTATGGGGCTCACCATTTTACAGATGAGAAAACTGAGGCTCAGCCAGGATCACACAGCTGGTGCGTTGGGACTGACACCCAACTGCTGTTCTCCACACCATCCTGCCTCCCCAGGGCCTGTCCACCCAGACCTTTCCTTTCAATCCCTGACACTTGTTCCTGGAGTTCCGGCAGAGGCCGTAGGCAGCCGGGAGGCCTGGGGGGGGCCTCTCAATCCAGGGCTGCTCACATGCTCCCCTTTTCTCCCTTCAGTGCAAGACCCAGGGCTTTGCCTCATCTCTTCCCTTAACTGCCCCTTCCAATCCATCACGGGGTTGAGAGCCCTGGCTCCAGAGGCATGGCTCCAGAGGGGGCTCTGCCACCCCAGATCCTCCCTCCTTGGGCCCCAAGTTGTCGGCACACTGAGCAACCTGCTTGAAGGCCTTAACTCTGCATCAGGCAAGGAAACGTTCAGAGCCTACACAACACGGCTAACCCGTGCAGGAGCACTTGAGACATCATTAGGAATTGAAGATAAATAAATGCCCACTTGGAAAAGCCCATTTCCCTAGGAGATGGGATTCTAGGGTTCTAGTTCCAGCTGTGCCAGCTGTGTGTCTGTAGGCAAGTCACTTCGCCTCTCTGGTCTTCAGTTATCTCTTCTGTAAACTAGCTATAACACCTTCCACATGAGGTTACAGTGAGAGGCCCATAAGATCCGGATGTGACAGCACTCTAAGCCAGGAAGCCACACAGACAGGAGATGATAATGCTATTATTATTCACCCAGCATGAGTACAACTCTTGCTTCACCTTTGGACATAAGTAAGGAAAAAACTGGGGATCTAGATTTTAGATATAACTCATCGAAACTAGACAGGCTTTTGACAAAGGATGTAATTTGTGTTTATCCAGCTATGCTTCCTAGTTCCTGGAGTTCCTTACAAATGCCACAAGGACTGCCCTGAAAGGCAGAGCTCCACCAGAAGTCGCCTGCATGGGCTTCCCACAAAACTGTGTTGGAAGTAGTCACGGGGCCAGCTTCTGGGTGACCAGTCTTATGCTTAGAAGAGCCCTGGGCTCCACTGTCACCTTCTTGAAATTTAAAAAAATTTTTCAACAAGGGAATCTGCATATTTGCTTTGTACAAGGTCCCACGAATCCCATAGCCAGTGTGGACTAGGAGCTCCATGCCAAACAAACCCAAAACTCAAAACCCAAACAAACATTAAGAAAAAGTGGGTTCCATCCTTTTGATGTACAGATGGGGAAATGCAACAGCAGCCCAGATGAAAACTGCCCAAGGTCACACAGCCCAGTGGGGCCAAAGTGAGGATTAAACCCCCAGCATCATGACTGTTCTGTGCTGGCTCTTCTTTTCTATTCAGTGTGCCCTTCCGTCTCCTCTAAGGAGCAAACTGAAGCCCAAGGAGACCTGTTTCAGGTCACACAGCCATGATAACAGTGGTGATGATGGGACTGAGCTACATTTTTTGATGATTTAAACCCTTTTTGGAATAGGAAAGAGCGTAGGTGAGATCATAGGTACATACATACATACATACATACATACATACGTACGTACATACATATATACACAAAAAGTCTAAATGGTACATTTTTAAAATTATAACTAAGCCAGTCCTGTCTCATTTGCCGGCCAGCTGCCTCCAGCTTTTCATAAACTGGGACCACAGAAGGGGTGTAGCTGGCTGTCCTCACCCAGCTAACCCACGTCAGCAGTGAACTTTACCAACTCACTGGGCACTTCCTCAAATCGGTGGTTGGGCGCTCTTGGTGCCAAAAAATATATAGAAATATGAAAGAATCAATGGCAACGTTTCCTCCCTGTCCATCCCTGGTCTCCAAGGCTCCTCAGCTGGAAGTGGGAGGTGCTCCCTGACCCCGCCCAGCCAGTCCTGGCCCTCCCACTGGCCCACCTCCTCACTTCCTTGTTTCTTTGTGAAACAGGAACTGAGCAGGCAGCTCAAGTAGGGTAAGATGGGTGGTTGAGAAAACCCCAGTGGTCCATGGCAAGGCCATGAAGCTGAGAAGCTGATTTCCCTCCCAGCAGTTCTAAGTAGTTCTAGATTTTCTTGCTTGTCATACCTTCTGTGTTCTAGAATAGCTGGGGCTGAGGGACCCTGCCCTTCATAAGGTGGAGACACTGAGGATATAGGCCGCAGAGTCATGCAGCAGAGATTCAGATGGGGCCCAGATGAGATGTAGAAGCAGGTGCCAAGGCAAGAGGAGAAACCACGAGTGGGGCGTGCAGTGAACGGACATAGCCCCTCGCCAGGCACGGAGCACTTCAGGCGAGGTGTGCGCTGGACTGACCGTGCTCTCTCTAGACGTGTCATTTGGGTAACTCTGCTCACATACACACACACCCCAAGCAAGGCCCGCATTATCACTGTCTTCACAAAAACTCATTGCCAACATCACTTGTCCAAGATAATGTAGCTAGTAAGTGATCTATGGCGATTTGAATCCAGTTCTACCTGATCCCAGTTCTGGGAAGTGTCTCCTGCTCTTCCTCTTCCCTAGACAATCGTCCCCTAGACTGCTCAGCAACTTTTGTCTTTGTAACCTTGGGACACAGTCATAGGCAGAGCAGCCCTTTCCCTCCCAGTCTCCTATAGAAACACCCTGCAGTGAGTAGTGAGTGTTTTTTTCTCTGAGCACCGAAGCCCAGCCTCTCCTTCGTGGTAATCGCCACAGCTGCCTGCAGGTGTTCTTTGTTTTTAAACCAAAACCTTATCATGAGTTCAGAGATTCAGAGATGACTTTCCCTCCCAACAGCCTCTGCCATCAGGGACTCCCCAGTGCTC